TTGTATTATCACGTCAAAATTTTACGGGAACCTAGCTGTGTGATGTCCAGTTATAGCGGACAAATAGCGATAAGATGTATAGTCCCAGGTGTCACTAAGGTAGAACATATATATTTGCATACTTTAGATAAAATTAAATAAACAAAATTTACCTACATGTGTTATTTTCTTCTGTTTTATGCTTTTTACTGAAAGAAAACATTAGTGCCGATTTGAAAAGATGCCGATTTGAGCAGGTGCCGAACTGACCATGTGCCGACTTGACGTACCCGTACCCGCACATATCCAGTTGTGCCATAGTTGGCACTCCATAGGTAATAATGCTCGGTAATCACCCTTTGTTTATTTACACTTTGAAACTAGATGAATTCTGCAATTCCAAAACAGTAAAGAGAGTGGAAGTTTTCATATTTTATGTCATCATATGGTAGGACTTTAGGTCACTTTACAGGGGCGGGTCCAGGTGAGGGCGTAATGGGCGTACGCCCCCTTAAAAAAAACTATCGTAATCTGCTAATATTGTATTGAATAGTGCATTTCACAATTAATTTATGTTTTTAGCAAAAAAAAAAAAAAATCCAAAATATTTTTCGACTCGCTCCGCTCGGCAAAACTACAGTTTCAGAAACATATAAGAAATCACAAAGCTAGACAGTGTAATGTGTTTTGTAAACGGTTTCATGATTCCTACTTCTTACAGAAACACATGAGAAAACACAGTGATGAGAAAACTCATAAGTGTGAGTTTTGTGAAAAGCGGTTCAAGTATTCGTTTTTCTTAAAAACACACATGAGAACACATACTGGAGAAAAACCGCATCAATGTGATCTGTGGTAAAATATTCAGCGAAAAAATCAAGCAATGAAAAGACATATGAAAACACATACTCGTCTGATGATAAACCTTATAAATGTGAAAAGTGTGGTAATAGTTTTAGTCGAAAAGATGATCTAAAGAGACACTTGACATTACATACGGGTGAGAAACCGTATCAATGTCATTTATGTGATCAAAGTTTCAGACTGAAAAAAATACGTAAAGAAGCATATGAGAACACACAATGGTAATAAACCGTACACGTGCAGAGCATGTGGTAAAGAATTTGGTCATACACATACCTTGGAGAGACACATAAGAACTCATACACATAATGATGACAAACCTTATAAGTGTGATGTGTGTGGTCAAGGGTTGTGTAGTAAAGATACTCTAAGGATGCACATGAAATTACACACTGGTGATGGTATGCATACATGTGATGTATATGTGACAAACAGTTTAATAGGAAAAGTAACCTACGAACTCATTCGAAAAGACATTCTGGAAATCTTCGACACTGTAGTATTTGTGGCAAAGGATTTCCTACAGATTATAACTTACAAAGACGCATAAAAACACATGATAATGAAAAGCGTCTGAAACTTGATGTTTGCTAATTTTACAAATGTAATACTGATATGTTCGAAACTTGATGTTTGTAAATTGTATGCATATGGTGGTGATAAACGTTCGAAACTGAATGATTGTTAATTGTAGATGGTGGTAAGAACGAAAATCACAAAAATACAGAACTCAGAGGAAAATTCATCAAAAGAAATTCGTTGTGGGGTGTCCGTTAGGAAGAACTCGCTTTCTTTACGATTTTTATTTTTATTATTATTATTTTAATTGTATAAGCGTTTCATAGTGTTCCGGGGGTTTGAGACACCCTTTTTAAAATAGCTTCATCCGCGTGTCTAGAAAAAAGGGAATGTCCAAATCACACACGGAAGTTGAAGACAATTGCTTAAAGTTTCAAAAAGTTAAAGACGGCCACGGCCTCCATTACATTTTTCTAGGAGAAAAACCAGTCAAAATGAAAAAAAATGTTCCCATCGTAAATTATATGTTCCAATGGGAAGAAAATGTGATCTTTAAGGAAGAAAAAAATGTTCCCATGGAAAGAAAAATTGTTCAAATGGGAAGACAAATTGCTCCCATCTATAGAATAAGTTACTTCCAATGTTGACAAACTATTTTCTTATGTTCCCATAATATGGGAAATTACAATTAAAAAGGCAAATATATGTAGGATTCAAACTTGGGTGGGTTCCAGATCTATGGCAAATTTCAAATATATGGCAAAATTTAACGTCTCAAACGCCATACAAATCATAAATCTATGTCAGCTCTATTGTTTCCTCCAAATCTATATGGAAGATTTTGATTCTGCCTGGGACTATTATACTAATATAGTATAATAGTCCCAGATTCTGAGTAATTTTCCGTGAAAATGGTGAACTATATAACGTAACAAATACTAGTAAATAAACGGTAAAATTATGCCGGATTTTATGTTGGTTCGTAATGTTTATACTTTGCAAATTCCGTAAACTGCAGAATTTTTACGCCAACTATCCAATACTATTCTACCAAACAATCTTTCTTGATATTTAGAAAGCTCTATCTTAGACTTCTAATACCTTTGAAGTCTTTTTACGTCAATTTCATTTGAGCTAGTACTTTGTCAGATACTTACTGACTGTCGGCTCCTCCATTTGCAGAAAATTAGCCATAGATTTAGAAACTACTAAATCCAGGGGCGGATCCAGCCATTTAAACAACAATAAAGAAAAAAGGGGGGTTCTAACTATATGTTCTCATTTGAATGCATTGATCGTCAAAAAAGGGGGCCCCTCCCATTGATCCGCCACTGAAATCTACCAGTATCCTGCAACTAAATGGCCCTATATCATACTTGATGTTTTACCCCAATACAGTTTTGCAGAGTAACACAGCAAGATTTTTAGAAAAGCCATTACTTGTAATACTTCATTCGTGGTTATCGCCCTTTGATTTCTTACCTGTATTATTTTGATGTATACACACAGTCACGAATCGACAATAAAATTGTAAGTAAGCACTGTTACTTTATATAATAATTTCAAACTTTATATAAAAACTTCACCGCAAATAACAAATTTGTACTAAGGAAATGTGCACTACGTATTCAGATAAAAAAAAATAAAATCCTGAGATAAAATCGACCGACACCTAGTGACCTACACTCGTAGCTGCGAAAACGTAGCTCTATTGTCCTTTGAATAAATATCAAAATCATCAAAAGGACCTTAAGAGCTACGTTTTCGCTGCTACCTACACTCGCTGATATCAGATCGATCAATATCGTTTATCAGTGTTGATGTAAATATTTGGAAGACGTTGTTGTTTGTTTTAAATAAAATCTGAGACACTTTTCATGTAATTAAGATATGTTTTTTGAAACAATGTATAGAAAATTTATGTTTCTATGGAACGTCTTATTAACAGTTTTAGGATCATAATATCCGTTTACTGCTATATTCTTTTCGTCAATTTTAGATTTGATTCTGTTATTACACTCTTTTTATACAAAATTTTTTTCCTGCGAAATGTATAGAATGGTTCTTAGAACACTATGAGTTGCTGCTATGAAAAGCTTGCTCAGTTCAATGTTAAATATGTCATGTACATGAGGCGTTCAGAGGCGGATTAAGAGGGTTTTTCAGGGGACCCGGGCAACCCTCTTTTTTGGGAAAAATCTGGTTGATTATTTAGGGAACCACTGAAGCATGACGGGAGCGGGTCACCTCTTAAGTAGTCAGTGCCCCCCCCTTTTATGAACATTTCTGGATCGACCACTGGCGTTACTGTTTGATGTGAACTTGACTGATCGATGACTGATCAGTGATGGAAGTTTTTACTGACCTATGACAGATCTGTGATCGATGAACCATAGAATTTGTTAAATACGTCAAATAAGCTATGTGAGAGTTACTTTGACAGCGAAATTAAATATATATACACCGATTGGACGGATACATATATATTAAAACTCTTATTTTTTAAAAACGAACTCCACATTACTTATGAGTCAGTGATAAACGCAGACTTTCTTTTAAATATACATAAACTTTCGTTTTATTTGAATAAGAATGCAATCATTTCTTCATTTTAATGGAAATTATTGACAGCCATTAGATTTTTGTATTTTACGTTCTTCATTATATGCTGTTTATCATTAGAAATCAAAAGTATATGAGAGAAAATACACTATAAAATGTTGTTTGCATTGTTTAAAATGATAATTTTTTCTTCATTTGATAAAAAATAATTCAGTGTTATTTGTAACTAGTTATTTCTAAACCACCAAGATAAGATTTTTTTATGTTTTAATTTTATGAGGAAAAGAATACTTAAACTCTTGTATGTGTTGAATACAATTGCAATTATTGATTTATTTTGATAGAAATTTAATTAAAGTACTTTTTATACATCAGGATGGGTTGTTTTCCATAAAATATTCTAAATTTTAGGGAAATTGTAGTTTGAACTAAATTTGTGGGGAATATGTGACATTTTCATCCTCCTTTTGCAATATTTTATGGTAAATAAATGCAAAATGTTGCCATGGTTACACAAAAAAGGAACTATATTTTACTATTTTAACTGTTGAAAATCAAATCTATGGAAAAAACTGATCACAAACATGTGCACATGAATGACACAAACAGTTGGATAAATGTATTACAGAGCCAGGAATAGAAGATTATTCAACATTTTGTGGTTCAATTTTGACTTGTTTGATTTCATCAAAAATTGAATTCTTGGGGTTATTTGATATGCTGATTTTATCAATGTACTTAGATTTTGGATTATAATAGATAAATGTCCAATTTCAAATATTTCAGTTCTTTGACCACATTCATTTTGTGTCACAAACCTATACTCAAATATGCGATAACAATCCAAATTCAGAGCTGTTTTAAGCTTAAATGTAGTGTCCATACTTGCTCAACTGCTCAGGGTTCGACCTCTGCAAGAAAATCCGGTTTGCTGTCACTCTGACATCTTGTGTGATCGTTTGGCCCTAATCTCTTTTCTGTAAACTCCATGTGTATGTGATTGGTTGCTGATTTTTATGTAATTATAAAAACCACATACATCGATATATATACAGCTATGTTAAATGTGTTTTTTATTCATCAGACTCCAGTGCACTCAGGGAATGTAAGAAGTGGACGAGAAAGAACAAATACAAATAAAATGTCTAACAACGAAAATACAGCTGATTCCATGATCATCTCCCTTGTTAAGACAACAGACAAGTCAAAGGAACACTTCATCTTAAATGCTGGCGAAAACGACTATGAATGTGAAGTGTGTGGTAAACGTTGCAGTAATGGTACAAAGCTGAAGGCGCATATGAGATCACATATTGATAAAAAGACTTTCAACATATTTCAATGTGATATATGTAATAAGAGGCTGAGTACAAATCATGGTTTAAAAAGACACATCCTATCACACACTGGTTATACACCTTATAAATGTAAAGTTTGTGGTAAAGAGTGTAGTCAAAGTTTTAACTTATTGCAACACATGAAATTGCATACTGGTGATAAACCTTTTAAATGTGATTTATGTGGTAAAGAGTTTAGGCAGAATGGTAATTTACAGAGACACATGAGAACACACACTGGTTATACACCTTATAAATGTAAAGTGTGTGGTAAAGAGTTTAGTAAAAAATGTAGCTTATTGCAACACATGAAATTTCATACAGATGATAAACCATATCAGTGTGATGTATGTGGTAAAGAGTTTAGGCAGAATGGTAATTTACAAACACACACGAGAACTCATACTGGAGATAAACCTTATAAATGTGATTTATGTGAAAAAGTTTTTATGCAATTAAGTGGTTTACAGAGACACACGACAATACACACTGGTAATAAACCTTTTAAATGTGATTCATGTGAGAGAGAATTTAGTTCTGTACAGAGCATGAGGACCCATATGAGAACACACACCGGTGATAAACCTTATAAATGTGATGTATGTGGTAAAAGGTTTAGTCATAGTGGTAGCTTACAGAGACACAGTACTTTGCATACTGGTGACAAAAAGTATAAATGTGACGAATGCAGTAAAACTTACCCTAATAGTCATAGCTTACAGATACACATGAGAATACACACTGGTGATAAACCTTATAAATGTGATGTATGTGGTAAAGGATTTAGTAGTGTACATATCATAAGGACCCATATGAGAATACTCACTGGTGATAAACCTTTTAACTGTGATGTATGTGGAAGAGGATTTAGTCAGTTTATGAATTCACAGACACATATATGTAATAAACCACATTAGGACATGTAGGATATGATGCATGAAAAAATGCTGAGAAAGAACTTATGCCACATCTAAACATTTTTGTCGAGTCTGCAACTTCTGTCGCAGAAAGCTCAACAAAGTGATAGTGATCTGGCGACGACGCCCACTCCGGCGTTAACAAACTTCTTAAAACGTAATATTTCAGAAGGTAGAAGACTTGGATCCTTCATACTTTGTATATATAACTACATAAGGGGTAAGTTGGGGGTCCATGTGTATTAAGCAATACTGTAAGGTATTAGGCAATAAGGTAGGTGTCCAGGTGTCCATATGGTGTAAGCATGTTCATGTATTAGGCAATACAGGCTAGTCAAGGCGTCCATATGATGTAAGGTAAGGGATGTATTAGGCAATACAGTCTAGAATGTCAGGTGTCCATATGTATTCAGGTGTCCATATGGTGTAAGCATGTTCATGTATTAGGCAATACAGGCTAAGGTAGGTGTCCATGTGTTGACTAAGTGAAATATCAGTGAAAGTTGATAATGTAGGACAAAACAGAAAATATATAGGTTAATAGTGAAATGTGAACGTTGGAAGGATCAAAAATCAAGAATGAGTCAGGGACCCTTAAAAAAACTATTATATAGGTTATCTTTTACATTAGTACAAGTTATATGGACGGTGTCCTTATCATTTAATATATGTTTATCAAATCATTATGGGGTCCATTATATATAGTGTTTAGTGAAGAGAAGAATCAAATGAAAAAAGTACATACAGGAAGAATCAAGTAGGCATGACGCATAGAATGGGATAACAATTTCGGTCAAACATAAAATAACCGATATGTCAATAACCTTATTACGAATGTTTATGAAATACCACGATTCACAGCAAGAATATAAATACATGTAGGAGGAGGAATTCATAATTTGATATTTTGAAAAATACAATATGAACTACCCAGCAAACACACAACATTTTAAAAACATTTTTTAAATGTCATATGGACGTCTCTCGCAAAATATTTCAATAAGATATCATTTAAACATAAAAAAAAATTTTTATTTTATTGTTTTTGAAATGTTTTATTTCTAACATTTAAGTAAAATGTTTTTACAACATTAACAAAATATTATTTGCTAATATCTTTTATTCATGTTCTCAAACATTGTTCTAAAATATCACGTAGATATTTTATAATACAAAAAAATAATATTTTCTTCAATTGGTATTTTATATTTTAACAACATTTAAAGTAAATATTTTCCAAATATCCAAAAAACATTCTGCAAAAAAATGTTTTACAGAAAATATAGTTTTGCTATTTGCATAAAATGTTTTATAACGTAAAATTAAAATGTTTTACATAAAACATCTGAAAAATATCAGCTAAATGTTTTCTATAAAATATTCTGACATACACATTACTTAATATTCAACATTTTACGGATATAAAAATAACATTTTATTTAAACTTTATTCAAAACCCCACAAACAACGTTTTGTGGAATTAGCTCGTTTTTTTTTCAGGATAAGATATAGTACTACATTTCATCAATATCATGACAACAGAGACATATATATGTCTCTGATGACAAGCAAGACACTATGGTTGAAATCCTCAATTGATATCTCAGTTGAAGATCCTTGAAGTCAGATTTTATTCCTTCTTATATTAAAATTCAAAAGAGTCAACATTAAATTAAGCAATAATGTATTAATAAACAATCACCTTTCTTTAATGTTTATTCATTTTGTTCGTGTATATTTTAGAAATTAAGAAATGAAAACTGTAACTGTACTAAGTTCAATTTTCGTATCGTTTATATGATTTACGGAAAACCGACCTTTTCCGGAATCGACTTTTGTTTTATCACCGGAAATGAATTTGAAATTTGAATTTCGAAACGAAGACAGGATATCAACAAAGAGAGCCAAGAAAATTGTTTGTTACGCGATATATATACTCACTTGGTAAGAATGATTAATCTGTTAAGATGAAATTTGTGCATTCATTGTGTGTGTTCAATCATAATCGGAACCAAATTACATCTGTTTCTGGAGGTGCGGATCAAGGTTTTGAAAAAAGGGGGGCCCCTGCCCAAGGCAAGCAAACGTTTGGAGTGATACTTGTAAATAGTCTACGTACACCAATTATGAATTTGTTCATTGATAAAAAAAAATTATAAAGATATGTGGCTTGTGTGTTTGTCACAGTTTGATACACCTTATCGCTATTTGTCCGCCATTACTGGACATCACAAAAGTTCCCGTAAAATTTTGACGTCATAATAGAAAATATCTGACGCCACAATGGAAAAGTGATTGTTGTATGACGTCAAAAGTTCAAGTGGGACAGATTCTCGGGTCAAGCGGGAATAGCGATAAGGTGTATTGCCAATACACCTTATCGCTATTAGTCCGCCATTACTGGCCATGGACATCACAAAAGTTCCCGTAAAATGTTGACGTCATATTAGAAAATATTTGACACCACAATTGAAAGTAATACACCTTATTGCTATTTGTCCACCATTACTGGACATCACACAACTGTCACAAGTTCCCTTAAAATTTTGACGTCATCATAAAAAATATCTGATGCCACAATGGAAAAGTGATTGTTGTTTGACGTCAAATGTTCAAGCAGGATAGATTCTCGGGTCAAGCAGGAATAGCGATAAGGTGTATTATTGTATGACGTATGCTGACGTAAAAAGTTCAAGCGGGACAGATTTCCAAATACTGAAATAGCGATAAGGTGTATGAGACAGTTATCCACCAGAATTTAAATGACTTGGATAAAAGAAATTATAGGTCACTGTACGGCTTTCAAAACAGAGAAAACCAATGCCATATAGTCCACTTTGAAGCCTTGACAAACAAATGTTAAATTTTTCTCAACACAATTGAAACAAAACAACTAACTGCCTACATTAAATACACATTATGAAAAAGAAATTTGACAGACTTAAACCAACAACAACTATTGCAATAAGCATGACTCAATACCTTGTTTCCGAGGCACACAAACAAGTTACAATAACACTAATATAAGCACCATTTGAATATGGAGATTTTTTTTCTAGTAAAATCAGTGTATGTATGTATTTGCAAAACAGTAAATTAAATTTCCCTTAACAGCTTAATGAACATTAAAAAGACTATGTAAGACTTCAGTACAAGCAAGATAATGTAACTGTAATATTAACTGTTGCTTAAAATTATATTTATTGCTTCATACACACAATGTACATACAATGTATCTTTTATTTTTTAACAGGAGCTAAAAGGAAAGCCACAAAGGACAAGTTCAATATGCAGGTTTACAATTTGGAAGTGGCGCAGGTTCTTTGGAATGTCTACAACCTTTCAGTAGAATTTTTTTTTGAAGTAAGATTTTTATACAGAATTACTGTTATTCCATATTCAATTCAAATATTTAGCATAAACAATGCATTACATTCAAGATTAAGGGCATACAATACAGAAAAGATATCTGGATATTTGAATTAATTATTTTTTTTGTGACAAAATAGAAACAAGTTGTTTATTTAAATCAATCTTTTAGTCCAACAGTGTGCTTTCATAAACAACATATTTGCTTTCCTTTGAAGTATTTCAAATACATATAAACAACTCATTTAATGACATCTGTGTGTTTCTCGGAAGTTAAGTTATATTATTATCATCATTGCGAAAACAATGCGTAACACTTCGATAAGTTATTATGTGCCTATAGTATACTTCTAGGACTGTATCATATACCCTTAGATACAAATGACAAGTTATAAACTATGTCACTCTACAGAGTTTATCACTCAAAACATGCAAAAAGGACAATAAGATGTTTAATGACATTATGTAGCAGGGCTTTTAAAGGCCCCTACATTATATACAATGCATTTAATGAAAACTAAAAAAAAACAAGAAAAACAACAGCCTGATTTATACAGAACAATAAAAGAAAAAATTATGATAGACAACAATCAACGAGTATAATGAAATAAGACTCTTGACTGGACACATATCTAGTCTAAAGTTTTTTATGTGTTTTTTTTTAATAACTAAATGAAGTTCAGCGTGGCATATTGCTCTCTCTTAACACGGTCAGCCATTTATCGTCCCCTTCCGACAGACTATCATCGTTATTTGTTTCAAAACTTTAAAGGGGAGGGGATGTATATCCTTCAGGCAACGTGAATCGTTCTATAATAAAGGAATGTGCAAGAAATTATATATGAATGTAAGATTAATTTTTTTTTCAGAAGCATGGCACAGCAAGAAAAAGATATAAGACACTACAAGACATTCCAAGTGATTTTGAATAAGACAATTGATTGACTTTTTCAATGTATTCTTAAATAAATCAAATAGTTGATGTAAAATGGTGTTTTGTTCTCATCTCTTTAGCCAATTATCAATGATTATTGACTTAAGATGTAACCCTATTAGAAGTGTAGCGTTTTAGTTTAGAAAGAGAAGTTGTATTGAAAAATCTGAATTTGGGACACAAGTTTTAGTCAATGTAACTTGAACTTAAAAATGTGTATAATGTTTGCATAATGTCCAATGGCATATATGTCATGCATGTTCAGGTTGACATATGCATGATGTGTATAAGATAGGTAATAAAAGTTGAGAGTGAAAAACTAAACATTATACCATTGTGGTTGGAATAATGGGCTTTCTTGCACTGTCTGTCGTCTGTTCACCTTTATTTGTGGGATTTTGTCCAACAAATATTTTCATCACTGTTTTTCCCAAAACTGCTGATAAAGATGAGTTCATATTTAATGAGCTGCTTGAAAGTGATGAACTGTGATGTGTGAACATTTTTGTATCTGGCACCTGTTTCCTGTTTGCTTTATATACATTGTATTTCAAAATGTTGAATTTTCTCACATTTTTCATTACTTTAATTAGTAATGCTGATGAACAGAATGACTTCATATTTGGTAAGTGGCTTGACCATGATGAGTTGTGTCTGCCATTTTGGATGTGTCAAAATTTGTAGATACTTCTTGTTTTTAGAGACTTTGAATTGTGAATTTCATATGCTTAGCAAAACAACTGATTTATTCAATCAAAAGTACAGACATTTTTATATTGATATGATCTTGATATCAACCAAAAACATCTTCTTAAAACATTTTGAAAACATTTTTTAGGCAGTCTCACTTGCAAGAAAACATCCAAAAAACATTTTTATAACATTATTTGATGTTCATGATGTTTTTCAAACGTTCAGAAAATATTTCTAGAAAATATTTTTTAAAAGATTATCAAAATGTTTTATACGCCATTGTTTTTCACATTATCATGATATTTCTTTACAACATTTTAATTATATTATGCAAATATTTTAGAAAATATATTAGAAAACGTTTTAGCGATATATATTCTACCATACATTTAATGTTTTTCTCACGTTTTTTTGTGATATTTTCATGACATTAGACACAACATTTTAAAAACATTTTAAAGATGTTTTTGTGTTTGCTGGGTACTACATAAATCTTTATGAAAAAATAACTTTTTAAAAAGAAAATAAAAGGGAGGGACACTAGATTTCATATATAAAGGGTAATTTAGTAGTTGGTATTCACTTCCAAACATCAACAATAAAATAAAGTGTAATCTAGTAGTTGGTACTCACTTCCAAACATCATTTATGGCTGAAAGACATGTAAAAATGTAAGTGGCTAATTTATAATAGAGTAGAAATGAAAAAAGTATTTAGAAAAAAATATACATTATTTGCGATCTAATATAAAATACATTGAAAATATTAACCACAGTTCAATATATATATATATATATATATATAAATATTTAGAAGTTATCATACATTATATAATTTGAATCAGTAATTAACATATGTTTGTACTAAGTTATTGAGAATTAATCCATTTTTTTTTTATTTTATTCAGAAATGATTGAGAATTAATCCAATTTTTCTTTATATATTTTCAGAAGTGACAATGTCAAAAAAATTTGAAAGAATATTTGTTAAAATGCAGAGAAGAAAATTTACAACTTAGCCAGTAAGTATTAAACTAATAATGAAATGAAGTTACATACATGTAATTTTAAAGACAAAATGAGAGATAAAAAAAAAACACATAGTATTAAATAGTTATGAAAACATGCAAAATTAAATGTTACAACAATAAATAAACATATAAAAAAGAGAAATAAATATTGAAAAAAAAAGATATAATACCATGCTGTTTAATGAATGGGATTTCCCACAATATTTGCAAGGATAGACTTCAAATGAAAGTAACTACATTTTGATGAATTAATTGTGAATCAATTTATTGTCAAGTTGATTTGTTTTAAATATTTCAGAAGAAAAGTAAATCAGAATAATTTAATAACATGTAGGTCCAATGAAGAAGAGGAAGAAAAAAGAAAAAGAGGCCTAAATGAAGGTGGAAAAAAAAGGAAAATGGAAAACAGTAAACATGATAAAGGGTAGGTTGTGTAATGTATACATTTTTTAAAAGATTATTTAATAACTGATAGAAAAACATTTTATTGAATATTTAATTTAACCTTATTATGACTGATGATCATGGTGAACAAAAATAACAGTAAAAACCTATTGTCATATACTAAGGATTGAAATATTTGGATAGATAATGAAAAAGATTAAAAAATATTAGATTAGATATATAAAAAATTTTATTTTCTGAGATTACTTCGTTCTGTCATTTTCTTTCTTTTTATAGAAAACTTTATTTTCTGAGATTACTTCTTCCATTCATTTTCTCTTTCTTTTTTATTAAGGATTACAATTATTTTGATTAAAAATGTCTTTATGTGGAATGAAACAAGTATAACAGAAAATTATAATTTCAGGACAAACACTATAATGACAGCACAGGCAGGAAACAAAATAAGAGGATTAGATGAAAAGGAAATAAAAATATTGGAGAAGGCGAAAAAAATTGTAGATGATAAAGAGGACAATATGGAGACAGTTATAAAATATCTATACAATATTCAGAAACGGAGAAAATATCAATTAAGAGAGGAGAAAAAATTTAAAATGTCTATTTCCAAAAGAATTGCTGACATTAAGGTATAGTTATTTTTTATTGTAATATACATGGATTTTCAGATGACATTAAGGAATAGTTATTTTATATTGTAATATACATAGATTTTTCTTACTATATGGTTTAATAAGATATTTATTTGCAAACATAAGCTTATTATATATTATAAATATATTAGACAAAAATGTTTTTTAAATATATTCATACAAAAATGTTTGTATTTAAAAACCATGTCAGGTACCACTTGATGAAAAGAGGGTGTGGCATTATGTATGAACTACTGGGATTTTACATATTAACATAAATAAAAAAATTAAGCATTTGAAAGAAACATTGCTATGAAAATATTAATGAATCTGAATACCTACATGTTTTAAGAAAAATAGTGTACCTTATTGCTATTGTTATCCATTATATAAAAGAAAACTGATATTTTGATGTTAAACTGTAGAGTTTTCATTATGTTACACAGTAGATTTTTCATAACTGACAATTAATAAAGATATGTGATCTATTATTAGTGTTTGATATATTAGTTAATCATACTTACATGCCAAAGCCATCCTTACCAGAAAATATTAATGAATCTGAATACCTACATGTTTTAAGAAAAATAGTGTACCTTATTGCTATTGTTATCCATTATATAAAAGAAAACTGATATTTTGATGTTAAACTGTAGAGTTTTCATTATGTTACACAGTAGATTTTTCATAACTGACAATTAATAAAGATATGTGATCTATTATTAGTGTTTGATATATTAGTTAATCATACTTACATGCCAAAGCCATCCTTACCACAAATGTTCTTGCATCTGGAAGTTGACTGTCAACAAATATACATGGGAACATCTAAATGTCAAGTCCTTTTTAATTATAACCTGATCATAAAGATAATCCCTGTTTTTTGTTTTTGTTTTTTTTTTCTATCTCTTGTATTCTTTATTTCAAAGTGTAACAAAAAAATCAACAACAAAAAATCATATTGCATACATTTACTGATATATTAAAAAAAAAAACACAACAAAATATGTTATGAAATAAAATAAAATACAAAATTTGGCATTTCTGGACAATTAGAGTGTTATGTAAAGAAACATAATTTGGCATATCTGGACAATTGGAGTGTTATGGAAACAATTTGTATAATTTGACATGCATGGAATAAAAAATTCAGGCAATAATTGTAAAAATAAACATTACATGGAAAAGTTAACAATTGCATAGCTTTAACATAACAATCAATAATTTTGATTACAAAAGAATGATTGATTAAATACCGGTCATAAATAATGATCAATTCCAGTTTAAAAATATTAGCTAACTGTATTACTGTTGTGAATATATGTATATAAAAAATAATTAAAAAACTATTAACTGTCCACTTATTATTCACAACTATCAATAAAAGTACTGACCATGGAATTGAGAGATTTAAACCATCATAAACTGTTAAAACTCTACAAAGTTAATACACTAACACTATTATTTAAATAACATAATATGATCCTATATGATCCTATATCAAAAATGAAAGACATGTATTATTGACAACTATCAATCAAAAGTACAAACAAACTAAAACTAGTATTTCAATAACATAAATATGACCCCATATTAGAAATGAAAGTATGTAAATAGCACTTGTTTAAAGTATTTAATAACATAATATGACCCCATATTAGAAATGAAAGTATGTAAAAACTTTGAGGTAGAAAAGTATATAAATATTTGAACTATACAATCATGGAATGAACAATCAGACCACCAAAGACACAGCAATAAGTTTAAGAAAAAGTATTAAAAAATCTCTTTTAAAAATGAGGTTGAGGGTATTTTATTTATGCAGAAAGCACCAATATTATTCAAAATTAGACATGAGGTAAAAAAGTATATAAATATAAAAAAAACTCTACTAGGCAATGCTACAACTCTTGGACTAAACTAGACAATGTTCAAACTCTTGTTGGACTAGACAATGATCAAACTCTTGTTGGACGAGACAATGTTCAAACTCTTGTTGGACTAGACAATGATCAAAATCTTAACTAAAGAAAGGAGATAAAAAACCTATAAAAAAATGAAATATTTATTTATGCAAAATGCAATTATTTACAAAATTATCCAATTTAAGACCTGATGAGGTACAAAAGTATATAAAAAAAAAACCTATAAAAAAAAATGAAATATTTATTGGTACAATTACAAAATGCAATTATTACAATATTATCCAAATTAAGACCTCATGTACAAAAGTATATAAAAAAAAATCAACAACTCTTAATGTTTGTACTAGTCTTAATGTTTGTACTAGACAATGCTTCTTGACAAGTTTTCACTTATACTGTTCAAAAAATGTATAAAGATTATTCCTTAAGACTGTTACACTCATTATTATATGTATATCACAAATAATAACAGTTCAAAAAATGTATATAGGTTTTTTTTTACTTATTGTAAACACAATCAGACTGCTATCATAAAAAGCAGAAACACCAAAGATACAATTTAGAAAAGTATTAGAAAATCTCTTTTAAAAAATGAGATATTTATGTATACAACAATGTACATGAGACCAAATATAGGCCAACATAAAAGATATCAAAAAATGGACCAATGAACCTCCTTAAACAATGTGGACTTGAGGTATTTATGTATACAACAATGTACATGAGACCAAATATAGGATGACATAAAAGATATAAAAAAAAAAATGGACCAATGAACCTCTTTAAACAATGTGGACTTTTGATAAATTTACATATTTGTTTTCTATTTCTACAATAGACATTTCAAAAATGTTTGTGCCAAAAAAAAAAAAAAAAAAGGAAGAAAACTGGAACAAGAAACTTGATTTTGTCAAAATATATAATTAGTTAAGTTCTAATTTCTTCCTAGATTTTGTAGCACTCCTTGTACGTTTGGCTATTGGTTCATCATCTTCTTCCTCAAGGATTAAGGTCGGTAATCTGAGGGGAGTAGGATTTTCAGCGGGTGTAGGTTGTAGTACGGGTAATCTGGGTAGAGGTGTGTATCTTGGTGAAGGTGATGGTGTCAAAAATTGTAGAGGTATTGAATGTGGTGGTGATGAAGAAGGTACTTCAGTATAGGCATGATGTGTGTGTCTATACCTTTTCTACTTTCTACAGGCAACAACAAGCAGGACTAGTATTAGAATGCAAGAACTAATGATACTCCATATCATATACACTGTAAAATAATATTTATATTAGAATGCTAGAACTAATGATACTCCATATCATATACACTGCAAAATTTAATATTTTATTATGAAATTACATAAATTACAGAAAACATACATTAATATGAAGCAAGCTGGTGATTAATAATTTGAAACATAAATTACAGATAGCATATATTTATATGAAGCAAGCTGGTGGTTATTAATGTGACATGTCAAAAATATCATTATCATCATCATCCTGTTTGTGATATGTCAAAAATATCAGTATGATCATCATCATCATCATCTAGGTTATCAATATGACTTTGGTCTACATCTTTTAGCATCATGGCCATAGAATAAACATTTACAGCACAATGTTTTTTCTTTCTCCACTTATATATGGTACCAACAATAATGATAATAATGAAAAATAGTGCTATAGCAATACATGTAACAGAAATTGGTATAATTATACTTGTTAACTTTTCATTTAAAACTACATGATTATATCCAATACTATTGTTCATGCTGGCAGTAACATTATCTGTAACATTGTCTGTAGGGTTAGTTACATACATGTATGTTGAACTTTCATTGAAATTAATTTGGAATTTTGGACTTACAGTTATTGTGATAATTTTTGAAAGTTCTGACCCTGCTGTATTGTTTATTTCTTCTGGTTGAATTGTAATGGTAGTACTAGATATGTTAAATATCAAATCAGTTATATTTATGATACCTGTTGCATCTGTTGTTGTTGATGTTGTTGTACCATTTGTTGTTATTTCAGTTGTTATTGTACCAGTTGTTGTTGTTGAGTTGATGGTTGTGGTTGTTTCACTTGTTTTTGTTGTTACACTATTTTCAAAAACTGAGCAAAAAAAAAAGCAATGATGAATGAGGAAAAAAATTTACAACAACATTTGCATATCAAAACAATAGGTAATTCTGTATTGCATTTCACTATTTAACTTTTTTAATGTACAGTCAGGGATATAACTCTATAGGGTTATTACAGAAAATAACTTGCATGTGTTAATACAGATACTATCTTGAGCTTTTGTCTACTCTCTAACCCTTAAATTTTCTAAATCTGTAATAACATATGTTTGTTATTTGTTAAATATAAATTATAAATATTTTGATTTTTAGTGGGTTCTAGGGAACTCTTGAAACTTTGCACAGAAACTAAATGCATAGCTTTGATAACTAATTTTTAAATTAAATTAATACATTTTGAATTAACCATGGTAAATCAATGAGATGAGGCTTTTAAGAGATAAACTTAGCTGAAATAACAAAGCTTGGTTATTAAAGGCATGTAACTTGTTATATGAGACACTTGGGAATTACTGGGAAGTTTGCGCAGAACCTCATTACATGCTCTGATCATTATTTTTTAAAATAAATTAAAATTTATTGTAATTAAGCATGATGTATATCTGAGCAAATGCTTAAGAGGAGTGATGTAGTGAAGCTATAATAACACACTTTACTTATTATAGGCATATTGTTTCTGTAATATCATAAGTGTACTATGCATGATTGGCAAACTATGAACTGTTATATCTTTCTAAAGTTTTTCTATAGTTAAGTATAAATGAAGACAATAGTAATAGCAATAGAACGTATATACATTTGAACGAAGTAATCTCAGAAAATAAATTTTTTTATATATCTAATCTAATATTTTTTAATCTTTTTCATTATCTATCCAAATATTTCAATCCTTAGTATATGACAATAGGTTTTTACTGTTATTTTTTTTCACCATGATCATCAGTCATAATAAGGTTGAATTAAATATTCAATAAAATGTTTTTCTATCAGTTATTAAATAATCTTTTAAAAAATTTATACATTACACAACATACCCTTTATCATGTTTACTGTTTTCCATTTTCCTTTTTTTCCCATCTTCATTTAGGCCTTTTTTTCTTTTTTCTTCCTCTTCTTCATTGGACCTACATGTTATTAAATTATTCTGATTTACTTTTCTTCTGAAATATTTAAAACAAATCAACTTGAAAATAAATTGATTCACAATTAATTCATCAAAATGTAGTTACTTTCATTTGAAGTCTTTCCTTGCAAATATTGTGGGAAGTCCCATTCATTAAATATCATGGTATTATATCTTTTTTTCAATATTGATTTCTTTTTCTTTTATATATTTATTTATTGTTGTAACATTTAATTTGCATGTTTTCATAACTATTTAATACTATGTGTTTTTTTTTTTATCTCTCATTTTGTCTTTAAAATTACATGTATTTAACTTCATTTCATTATTAGTTTAATACTTACTGGCTAAGTTGTAACTTTT